CTGCCCGCAGCATCCTCGCCACGGCCGGGACGCACTTCAACACCCACGTGGACCTGCGGACGCTGCGGGCCGTTCGCGTGCTTAGACCTCTGAAGCTCGTCTCGGGCATTCCCAGTAAGTTGGATGCTCCTGGTCCTCCCACCAGGAGGTGTCTGCATCCCTCCCTGATATCCTTCGGAACGAGAGGGGTCCTAGTTGGCACCTGGGAGACGTAGGGTGCAATCAGGGTAGAGGGGAACAAACGTCCCCATGTAGCAGGATCTCTAGGATGGCAGCTTTTTGGTGTGCCCAGGTGGAATTTCCCCACTGCTCTGGGCTGGAACAAACCTGGACTCAGCAACTCACCGGGACCTGCCGGCAGCTCTGCTTCCCTGGCCAGAAGGCAGTGGGTGGATCCTTTCAGGACTGAGGTTTATTCAGGGGAGATTTTAGGATTTTTTGCAAGATTTTATCTGCCAGCATGGGGATAAATAAAGAAACTAGGCTGCTGCCGGCACTGGTTCTCCTATCCCTCCTGCCCTGGGCACCAGCTGAGTGTTGTGCAGGATCCATGCCTTGGAGGCAACAAGGGAGACAGAGCTCCAAGGACAGGGAGGCCACCAGATTAGGGACCAGATCCAGAAAGCAGCCCTCCTGGAGCCTTGCTTTGCAGCCTGGCCCTCCCCGCTCCCCTTGGGATGGTGTTTTCCTCCACGGTCCTCAGCTGCCTAAAAGGATCCTTCTTGCATCTCTCTGATGACTGTCTCTCCTCTCTGCTCATCATCCTCCTTTTGCCACAGGTGGGATGAACATGCCCCAGGCAGGGGGTTTGCATCACCATGCTGAGCTGTGCCCTTTGTTTTCCCTCCCAGGCCTGCAGATTGTGCTGAAATCCATCATGAAGGCCATGGTGCCTCTCCTCCAGATTGGCTTGCTGCTCTTTTTCGCTATCCTCATGTTTGCCATCATCGGCCTGGAGTTTTACAGCGGGAAGCTGCACCGAGCCTGCTACACAAACAATTCAGGTGGGGAGAAAGGCTCTGCACCCCCTTTATGTCCGGTGGGTGGAAAACAGCTGGGACAAACACATGTTGCTACTCTGGGAAACCCAGGGCTGAGAAGATCCCGTCTTTTGCTCCATACACACCGAGCATTGCCCAGTTACATTTAGGATGTCCCAGTTTCTTACTGGAGCAGCCAGGACTAGTCCAAGCGGGGTCCCCTGCCTGTCTGTGTTCAAGCTTGTCCCCTTACCTGTCCTCTGCCTCTCTCTTACTTCTGCCTCCTTTGACTCTCTGCTCACAGGTGAACTAGAGGAGCTGGACCCCCCCCATCCATGCGGGGTGCAGGGTTGCCCCCCAGGCTATGAATGCCGGGAGTGGATCGGTCCCAACGACGGGATCACGCAGTTTGACAACATCCTCTTTGCTGTGTTGACCGTCTTCCAGTGCATCACCATGGAAGGGTGGACCACAGTCCTGTACAATGTGAGTAACTCTGCTCTGGGGTCTCTTTGGGCAGCTGGGGATGGGGAGCTGGAGCCAGTATTTCTGTGTCCTGGAAACCCGTGAGATGCTGAGTTTCCTTTGTGATGGAGATTGGGTCAGTCCATCCCATTTGGGCAGGAGATGGGGATTAGAGGTGTGTGTTACTTGTAGAGCAACAACGGGAGCTCTAAGGGATTTGCCCTCCATCTCTGGGCTGATTGTGCAACCTGTTGCAGAAAGCAAAAGCTTGAGATGGCGCGGGCTGCAGCAAGTCTACTGCACAAAGGCTGTCCCTATCCTTCCTTCCTTTCCTCCTCCTCCTCCTCCTGTGTTTCCTGGGGCAGCTGCATAAGAGCAGATGTGGTTTCTGCGCATGGGGCTTCTGCTTTCCCTGCAGAGCAGGCAGTGGATGTGCCTCTATCCCTGCAGTGGCCTCAGAAAGCCCTGGAGGTGGGCTCAGACCCCTTCCCTGGGGCAGCAGCGGGGTTTTGACATCCAAAAGGGAGTGGGAACTTTGGTATTCGTGCTGGAAACATCTGTCAGTGCTGATGAAGCTGGCCTGGGTTCCTGCAGTTTGCAGTTGCCTAAAGTTGCTGATGCTCAAGCCCGTGGGGTATGCAGGGGAGAGACTTGGGGGCAAAGCTAGAAGCAGGGGGGAAAAAAAAAGCTACAGGCAATCACAAAGTGCATTTATCTTTGTGGGCGGTTGGCCATATACGTACGTTTTAATTTATGGGCTAGAAGCAACCGTGCCAGTTCTGTTCCCAGCCTAATTTCGGCATCAATTTTGCCGTCACTGCACCGGGAATGTTTTTATACCCCGGTTCCCATAATGCCTGGAGATTTGCAGAGCAGCATTGCTCTGCAGGAGGCAAATTGGATGGCTTGTGGTGGGGAAACACGCTTCGAAAGGGTGATTTTTAAGCCCAGACAAAGGCACCATCCCTGCCCCACTTGGTCCATGCTATCTTTTCAGGGGTGTAGGACAGCGTGTATGGGTAATAGACTGTGAAACTCAGACTAGGGTAGAAAAGAAAGAGTTCATGAGGAGGGCTTGACTTTACCGTGAGGATGTGGTTTTCCTCTTCCCAAAGGAGACGGCGGTGTGTCTGCGTCTTGTTGCTTTGGCAGGGAAATCAGGCAGGATTGAGTCACCTGTGTGTTCAGGCCAAAAAAAAAGACCTTTTCTTGGCTGCTTCTGGTACATCAATGGGATTAGAGGCTTAACTACAGTGCCTATTACCCAGGAATAATTGAGTATAGCAGGAAAGGTGATTTTTCCTGCCTGGCAGTGTGGTTCTCCTGCTTTTTGTGCAGCTGGGCAGCTGCTACCTGCTCACACATGGCTGTATCACAGCCCGTGCTTGCCCAGCGTGACTTGTGCTTGGCACAGGAGACCTGCCCTGCAACTTGTATCTTGTGTTAATGACCGTCTCCCTGCAAAAGGTCAGGGGCTGCTTCCCCTGGCGCTCCGCATGTCCATCCTTCCCGTCTTTTGGCACCTGCAGCAATTAGCAGCAGAGTTCCCCATGCTGGAGTCCCCAGTTGCGGCGTGCGAGCACATGGACGGGCAATTTATGGTCTGACTGTCCTTGAGAGTTTGTACCAGCAGTTCCTGAGACAGTCTGATCTCCTGCGGTTCAGGGATCTCCTTACTGGGAAGGCTGGAGCCGATCCATTTGGCATCTGGGATTTCCTGATCCGCTCTCTGGATCTTACTGGAGGGTAAGGATCGGAGGTGCAGTTGAAAACCATCCTCCACAGGACCTACCCTGCAGGATCCCGTGCTTACCACTATAGCTGCTATACTGGGGGCTCTCTGGGACACTTGTGGGGCCACAGCCCTGGTACCCAAATAACCTTCCCAGCACAAGTTGCAATGCTGGGCAAACACGCTCTGTCACAGCGTCACCGATAGCCGGGACTGTAAGGTGCCTCCTTTTCCCGCTCCTTTGCAAACAACCAGCTATTACTTATCTATAATGGAAAGGATTAGGGACCTTCCCCGGGTTTTAATTGGATGAGGATTGGGGCCTTGGTAGTAAAATACTGCTGATTCACTTTGGGAGGAGGCGGTGGCGAGGGACGGACGCTGTTCCCAGCACTGTGGGGCTGTGCCTCCCGCCCTCCCTGGGGACAGGAGCTGTCTCTGGGCTGGAAAGGCTACAGGTGCTCAGTCCTTTCGCTGCTTGGAAACAGCAAAACGGGCTTCTGCCTTGTTGTGTTTTTTTTAAGTAGGAAAATGGGGCATATGTATGGGAGGTGTGGTCCCTGGAGGATGCTGGAGGAGGGCTAGGCAGGGATGGAAAGCTGCTGGGATGCTCTGCCATCACCTTCATCACTCGGAGCAGAAAGCCCGAGCAGGCTCCTGCTGCTAACCAACACGGACCTTGCCCAGCACACACCCCAGGTTTGTGGGGGATCAGCGGGGGACTCTCTGCTTCCCAGCTGGAGTAAATTGATCGGAGGCTGCACCCTCGCAGGTTAATGCTGCAGAGAGCAAGATCGCAGGAGAAGCACTTTAGCAGTCTCTCAAAGAAATTGCTTACTGTAGTATTCCCTTGCGCAACTCTATCGTGATTTTAAGATCCATTTCTCCACAATTTTGCTGGGTCTGGAAGCGTGGCTCCCGGAATTTGTAGATAGCATCACGAAAAGCTAATCGGCCCCACGGTCGTTTCCATATGTGTTATTTCATGGATGTACTTGTCTTTCATGTTGTTTTCATCAGCCTTGCCTGTGTGAGATGCTGTCTTGCTAGGTAGAAATTGCAGTATGGGTTCAAAAAAAAAAAGCCTTAAACTGTGGGGTGTTACACCTTTTTCATTTCCCATCCCTGGCAGCCTGAAGGACTTTAACTTCTTTTGGAGGTGAGTTTTGGCTTTGTGGCTCCTCTGGCTGTCTCTGTGGTCCTATACAGGGGCTAAGGAGTATTTTGCTTTTCTGCTCACGGTGGAGCAGATGCCCCTATCCTGGGCTGGCTCATGACCAAACCTGATTTCTGTGGGGACCAGAAGGAAAAATAATGCTGGTGAAGAGGCGCGCTGTCCTACTTCTCTGCCTCTGCCAGCACGAGGCAGAGGCCAGGTAGCAGTTTTGTCATCAAATGGTGATGCTGGGGTCTGAGTAGGGGTGGCAGGGCTGGTGCGGGGCTGCTGGTGTGTGCTATGGGGTTGACTGGGCACATCATGGGCGCTGGGTGATGCTGGTGGCTTTGGATGCTCCACCTGGTTCCCCCAGTCCTGGAGAGCAAAGAGGAGAGGAGTTCAAAATAGTTATTTCCCCCGAAATGCCGACTTGAGAGGCTGTATGTATTCACTGAGATTTTTTATTTGCTTTCCCGTTTGGAAGCGCTCAGCTGCTGTGCTTGCAGGTAGCAAGGAGGAGCCTGGCTCACCAGGAGCTGCCACTCTCCTCTTCCCCCCACGCTACTGGGAACTGAGATGGGAAGAAAAACACTCATGGCAAACAGGGCTGTGGGCTGCTCTGGGCTGGCTGGCTGCAGGGAGAGGGGTCAGCTCTGCTTGTCCCAACTGGATCCTTTACCCAGAGCATTGCTCTGTGTTCTCCAGAGCTGGTAACACCGACCGCATGGAACCGCAGCCCCCAGGTGGGAATTGGTTAGCACAGGACAGATGGAAACACAAGTGCATGGAGAAAGCTGCTCTTTATAGCCACGGGAGTGATGCCATTGTGGAGTGGTGCAGGCAGGGAGGAGAAGGGTTGCCCGTTTCTCTGCCATAGATCTGGCTGTTGGGTTGAACCTCTGATCCTAAAAAGTTGTGGCTCCGGTAAATTCCCACGAATCGGAGCAGCCTGCAGGCAGGCAGGAGTGCCTGCGCGGCACCGATAACCAAACTGCAGCTCGGTCGCGCAAATTGCTGACTTGACTTTGCGCAGGGCCACGGCTGGGTGAAAATGTTTGCCTCTTAAGCACAGGCCTTAAAGCAGCT